GGAAAATTTAAGGAGTTATTATTATGTACGTTTAGATGATACAACCGGTAGGATACTTTTGCACGTTACTGTATATCCAAAGCCATACAAGCCCTGGGTTAATTATCAAAATGATTAATCCACAGATGTATGGGGATGTTTCTTGCTTCTAGTTTGAGATGAATACATTTGTCATGCAATTTATCATCTATGTACTGGCCACACATGGTTGATATTTTCATGATGTGTGCACACACAGTTTAGAATATTTGTTCATAATGTAATATATAACTAGAGTTTTTTTTTATTTATTCTGCACTAGTTTGATGATGCCTTTGAAGGAGTATGCAGTCTTTGAGATTTCAAGATTGCTAAACAGAAACAAGAATTGTCCACCAAGACAATTGAAACAAATCTGCAACCATTGAAAGGGAACCTAAAGAAGAGCAAGGCTTGATATGCCCTAACTTTACAGAAGTGTTGCATGACATTAAACCTGAGAATCTTTCATGGCATGATCCACTTGCAAGTCTGGTTCTTAGCAATGAAAATGATATTATTAAAGAGTTACCAGACGAAGATTATGAATCTTTTATGGTAAGAATGCACACAGTGCATGGCTATACTGATAAAAGATATTCCAAGTAAATAGAGTGGCAAGTCCCATCTTTGAAGAATATGCTAATACTGAAAACGAATGAAAAAAATATTATTAGGAACCAGTGCCATAGTTCCTTTCCTATATATAAATAGCCACACCATATGAAAACCTCTCTATAACATTACCCTTTCAATTTGTTGGTGGCAATTATGGGCATTGCAACATTTATGCCCTCAACTGTCTTCATAAGCTGTGACATCTCAGTCCAACAAGATTTAGCATTGAGAACAACATATATTAATATTATAACAAAAACCCTTAAAGAAAAACTGGGGTCAGATAAATTTGTGGTGTGTATTCTGTAGCATCATTGCAGTCTGCCCCATATAATAATTCAACTGCTTTTTAGCATTTTTCTCTACTCCAATTCCCTGTTGATAACAAATACACTCCCGTCTCAAAAGTCACCGACCATCTCCTAAATTTGCGATTAAATGAAAATATTGGCATAACATTAATACTGAATTTAGCGCACCTTATAGGTAACATATACACAAAAATTGCAATACGTTAGATAGTAAAATTACGAATTTACCTAGAGCCGACGTTCATTCAACGAAAGACGTTAAAGTAGGGTATACGACTTGAATGTTTGAAAATTTGTTAAAAATTAATCCACATATAAATTTACACAAATTTATATTCATTCAAAAGCGCAAAAAAGTGTCATAATATTTGTAAAGATTGTCTGAATGTCTTGCTTCTTCGTTGAGAAATTAAATTTTGAATTTAGAGTACTATTCAGTAGTCACCGACCACCCCTAAATTTTACAATTAAATGCAATATTGACATAACGAGCAATGCAATTACCATGCTGAACATAGAGCATCTAGTATACAACATATTTACGAAAAATTGTAATGTGTTAGATAGTAAGATGATAAAATTTATATGTAACTAACGTTGGTCACCGTTTAAAGTCATTAAAAAAATTAATCCACATAATAACTTTGCACAAATTTACACTCATTCGAAAGCGCAAAAGAACTGCTATCGAATGCAGGAAATGTAGCCAAAATATTTATAAAATTATAGCAAATTTAAAAAAACAAAACAGAAAAACAACGACATAATTTTCAAGTTGTATATTTGTTTGAATGTTTGAAACATATTTATTTGCGTTTGTAAACAAAACCCATTTATTAGTAATTAGTTGCATAACCTTTAGCCTTTAAAACTGCCTTTACTCTATTGCTCATAGAATTGAGTGACACTAATCCTAGATAAATTAATTGTTCTCAAGTCATTCGCGGTTTCTATCGTGAGATTAGTTTGGCAGTCCTCTGGCGAGGTACACTGGATTTCGATTATAATAATAATAAAACAATTTCCTAATGTTGCGGTCGCACATGTCAAGCTGAGAATGTTAATTTTGGATTATCTGTCTTACTATTACATGTCGATCTATGTCTACAAATGTCTTTGTTACTTCGAGAAACCAGTTTAAGAATTAACCTTAAGCAAGTGCCACAAACTTAGAATTATCACGATCCATGAATCAAGTTAATGAAATTACAGCAAGACAGCATTATACAGTATAACAGCGTTATTCCTCTTTTCCGAATTGCTGGTAAAGACCCCCCCTTTTTTTTGTGTTTTCTAAAACACTACATAATATAGACGTCAAGTATGGGTTATATTAGCACATGGATAGCCTGTTGTAGAAATCCGCATATGAGTGTTCAGCCAATAGGTATAAATAGATGCTTTTCCAAAGTATTTTTAGATCAATTGTGCAACGGCTACTAAGACTCACACACATATCAACAAAAACCATGAAGTCAACGAACAGTAAGCTCGCATTAGTATATATTGAATCACGGAAGCGCCCTTTGCTTTCAGGTGAATCCGTGAGTGTTTAGTTAACCGACCTTTCTTTGATTCACCTTGTCGCTGTTGCAGAACACTTAAGACTGTCATCAAGCTCAAAACGTTCTGAATAGCGCACAAACAGTAATTTGGTTTCTGCTTCAGCATTATAATCATGAAGACCAGCACGGGTCTGTTAATTACAATTGTGGTGCTGTTAGCCATTGCGACCTTTGTCTCAGCACAGGGACATTGGGAAGTGGTCGGATTGTAAGTATTCACACACACAATACTCTCATTGGGGAAACAATTAATTAGTTATGGTACAATTCCGTCTTCATTGTCATATTAAAATTGTTTTCTTACATTGCGGTAGAACGGGTGTTACTGCAATGCATGCTGTTCTAACGGCGCCCAATAAAGTACTGATTATTGACAAAGGTAACTATTGTGAATGTAGAGGATCAGACAAGCGTTCGGTACACTTGCTCTTGTATCGTAATGATGATGGCAATTGACTGACGCAGCAAACAATTGATTTCTTTCTTGTAGCCGAACAAAACCCGAATGCAACCCTGCCAGATGGTACAACAGGGTGGTCATGCGAATATAGTTTGGACACTAATACTTATCGAGTTCTGCCGTTGAAAACCAATACGTTTTGCTCAGCAGGAGCATTTCTCGGGAATGGCACGTTTCTTAGCACTGCCGGAAGCTATGCCGTCACAGCAAATAACATAAATGCACAGGACGGATATACTGGAATTAGATTATTTCAACCGTGTCAAGATGACAGTTGTTGGTGGATAGAGTTACCGACGCCATTAAGTTCGCACAGATGGTACAATACTATGGCTGCGTGAGTATGAAATTAATGTATATAATGAAAGCGCCTTTATACCATAACCAAATAAACTTAATTTTTATGGCATTGATCTAGTCTGCCAGACGGAAGAGTCATAGACGTGGGAGGTTCAACGGTAGCAACTGGAGTAAACAGTGCAGCAAAGAACAATCCGACATACGAAATCTACTCTTCTACCGGAACAAGTAATGCATCACCGTTACAGTTCTTGGTTGACACGTAAGTTATTATGCGCATGATCAGCATAATAGCAATAATTCCACGTATGTTTGTAACCCGCACTCACATATATTTTACTTGTAGCCTCCCATACAATCTCTACCCTTTCGTGCACGTCATCTCTGATGGTTACTACCAAGGATATCTGTTTATTTTTGCAAACAAACAGTCAGTCATTTATGACATTAATCAAAACCAAATTTTCAAAAAGCTTCCCGATATCCCTGGTGCAGTACGATCCTACCCCCTAACCGCGTCCTGTGTGTATCTCCCTATGACATACGAAAACAACTACAATCCCGAAATACTCATTTGTGGAGGACAGACACAAGCAGATACCGCCAGTCCAGCAGATAATACGTGCGGAAGAATAAATTTGGGTGATGTGGAACCGGCCTGGGACATGGATGATTTTGGTGGTCAAGCGAGATTAATGAGTGATTCGGTTATATTGCCGGATGGAACAGTGGTGTTTCTCAATGGAGCAGCCACTGGAATTGCCGGATATTGTATGTATGGACAACGAAAAAGAGGAAAAATGAGGGCAAGTGAAGCATATAACTAAGCGTACCACTGACTAACCGTCTTTCATCATTTTTTTCCCTCACTCATAACACTTATGACAGCCAAGGCAGATAATCCAGTATTCTTTCCAGTGGCCTATAATATGAACGCGCCTAAAGGTCAACGCTGGACACGTTATGCCGCGACCACCATTGCAAGAATGTATCATTCGGTCGCAATGTTGATTCCTGATGGAACTATTTGGGTTGCTGGAAGTAATCCAAACGACACGCCCAAGTTTGCTGGTGCCGGTTTCCTTACCGAGTAAGTACAATGATGCGGCTATAAGTAAATCTTTTACGCGCTATATTTTCGTTGCTTGGTATATTCACGATTCTTTTTTCACTGATAACCAGATACCGCGCAGAGAAATTTACGCCACCTTATCTTGAGACCTCAACACCGCGCATAACGATAACTTCTTTTGCAGGTTCAACCAATATAAACAAAGCTCCAATAAGTGTTCAGTACAACGCCAAGTACGAGATCATTTTCACACTTGCTAATGGAGCTAAACCGGGTGCTCTCAGTGCAACTCTGATTCACAATGGATTTACGACTCACTCGCAAACAATGTCGATAAGATCCATTAAATTGCAATTGGATCCGATGACCACAAAGGCAGATGGTAGTTACGCGGTTAATGTGTGGATGCCGCCAAATTCGTTCATTGTGCCGCCCGGCCCACAGTATGTGTATCTTTTGAATGATGGTGTGCCAGGAATGATGGCAGTACATGTTCTGATCGGATAGAGTAAATGTTAATTAGTTAATGAAAAAAAACCACTAGTACTAGTAATCATAACGCTAAAGCATAGTAAATAGTGCAGAAAAATAATTTAATGATCTTATAATCGTGTGGCGTGAACTTGGAATAAAACCTGTCATACTCTCGTATGGTAATCTTTATAATAAGCGCCAAAGACAATCATATCACTGATGTCCCAACATCCAAGCGTATAGCGTGCATTCTGCTGTGAGCTTTTTGCCCAAGTCTGTTTATTATCCATGTATGTCCTAGCCATGATCTGTCCCATTTCGAGCTTCTGACGGATACTTTCTAAAGAATGAAAGTCAGAGACAAACCTAATGACCTCCAACCTAGAGTTAAATGGCAGAAATGCTCAGACTATTATATCGAGATCATTGAATTTTCGTTTCAATAGCAAATGTCATCATATGCATTGATATCTCGATATTAGGGCATATATTTCAAGCTAATTTGTTGAGTAAGTCGCTTTGGCGGAGTGGTTAACGCGGTGGCCTGCTAAGCCATTTCCCTTTGGGAGCGCAGGTTCGAATCCTGCAGGCGACGAGCTTAAATTTTTTCTTTATTTGACAGAATTCCACGTGATTGTATCATAACCGTGTATTAATTATTTCCCCAATTGAAAAAATTCATCAAGTCCAGGAACTCTGATAACCAGCGGAGAAGAGAAGGCAATCGATATGAAACTAACACCAGAGCTCCTGCTTCATGCATCAAGTTATATAAATGCTATTAGAGACCGTGAACTAGACTTGCGGGGTATCCTTTTTTACGTTGTGTTCCGTCCTTACGGAAAGGGGAGGGGGGATCTGTTACGTGCGGTTACTTGGTAAGGTTCCTGGGATTACTATTAAAGTAGGAGGGGGAGCGAATCAAACATTCTGTAAAGCGTAGCGAGAATGGCTGGCTTTGAAGTATGAAATGCTGCGTGCAGACATGGCATTAGATTGTTGCGAATAGTCGCTTGGGCGTAGAACTATTAATTGTTATTTCCCTGACTCGTAACCTTATTTCCCTTCTCTGAATTGCCATGATTAGGTAACAAAATACCTGCAATTGAGAATCTTGGAGTGACAAAGGTATTTATATTTTAAATGATATTAAAGGTGGCGTAAATCCGCTATATACGTTAGTTCGACGTTTCCATCACGTAAAACTTTAGTCACCCTGTTTGTCGTTTGCTTGCTCTTGCTTGTGCAACACAAGGACCAAAACGATACCATTGATATTACAGACAATGATATTAGAGTTCTCGGCAATTTCCCTCTTCTCCCGCGATTACGACGTCTCTTGCTTGCCAATAATCGGATCACACGTATCGATCCCCAGCTCGCCGAATATCTTCCGAATCTAAACACGGTGGTTTTGACAAACAATAACATTTCCGAGCTGTCGGAACTAGAACCGTTGGGTGGGCTTAGAAAATTGCAGTATTTGAGTTTATTGGATAATCCCGTTACAAGAAAAAAGCATTATAGATCGTATGTCATTTGGAAAGTGCCATGTGTAAGAGTATTGGATTTTAAACGAGTGCGCAAGGCGGTGAGTGAAACTGTTTTGGTGGGACTAGTATATGCAATTCGCTGGTTTATAATTATACATTTATTTATGGGCACGTTCAAATTTAAACGTATTTTTTTTTCACACTTCCGATTTTAGGAACGAGAAGAAGCTCAAAAATTATTTGTCACAGCAGATGGATTGGAATCATCACTTGCCAAGTCCATCTCGGAAACAGCTGCAAAGACATTCGAACCAGGTGAAGGCATAATTCCACCTATGAATAAATCTAATGTTCCAATCCATGGGACGACAACGTCTGAGGATCAGAACAAGATCAAGGTCTGTAAAATACGGGAGTTTTCTTACGATCCGTTCGTTGCGTATTTGATACTGAATTTTTTCATGTAAATTTAATAGGAAGCAATAAAGAACGCAAAGACTCTGGATGAAGTTGCACGTCTTGAAAAGCTTTTACAATCTGGTCAGATACCGTCGTCTCAGAATGATGATGGGGGTGGGGGTGGGGGTGGAGGTGTCGAGGAGGAGGAAGAAGAAGAAGATGATGAAGAGATGGATGAAGCTTGAGGAGATAGGGTTCTTTTCTTTTTCGTTGAATGTATACTGGAGAGACTGATGTTTCGTGCACGTACTACATGTGATCATGAGAGAGAGACATTAATTCATATAATGATAGTGCTTAGAAAATATGGCTTATGTCTTGGTATGTGGTCATAATTTTAGATCCATACATTAATGAGGATGCATTTGTCACAAATAAATGCTCTCGTAATAGAAATTAACGACATGATCCATATGCATGTTGTTTTTTTTAGATGATAAAAAATCAGCTTTATTTTAAATAGGCATTTTCATGCACAATGTCAGTTCAATTTGCAGACACCAATTCCTTTCATAAAAATGGAGCCCAGCAACAGGGTGTTGCGGCTATGATCAACGGCAGCCACCGTGAGCGAGTAAAAAGTTTCAGAGTCTTCTAGTATTATTTCTTGAGCATATTTCTTTCCATAATACCTATCCTCGCCCACGTTGTCCGATATTTTAACGGCGGCAGCCGACGGCTTTTGTGTTTTCCCTCCCGATTTAACATATGGAAGTACCTCGTCAGATCTGACCACACCTACACCAAAATCAATAGTCTTTTACTATCGTGAATGCCTAGAAAGGAGTATCATAAATATCACTATTACCTGTATAATACAATTCATTTGTTACATCGTCGACTGAAATATTATCTGGAAAGCCCTCAGTAGTGAGTATCCTTTCTATCTCAACGAGGCGATTATCAGCCTTTCTCTCGTATATCACGATCGCAGGTTCGGTCGAGCATACAACGTATACTCGAGACTGGTCTCGATTCATCTCAATACCGTTTGCATATCGTAGACCATCAGCCACGATAGTCGTAGTATTAGTTTTACCTGAATGGAACACTACGTCCGAGTACGGTAAACGTAAAAAGACTGTTTAAAGAGAAATAGGAATTTATTAGAAATAATCTAGTGACTTTAACTCGTAGCTGAGCATATTTAATGATTGTTGTATACGCACTTTGTGCATATCTCATAAACTCGTTCTTATATATAATGTCATTTGTGACATAGAATTCGTTCTTTGATATAGGCGCGACATCATTGGGGGCATGAATCAATTCGTGCTTGACCGTTTCCACGTGTTTCAGTTCGTCCGTTCCTATTCTGTGTTCAAAGATCTCGATCACGCTACCGGATCTCTTGTGATTTACAAAGAAGAGAGTGGGATTTTGGGGATCGTTTGGGTCATCATATATCCCGAGACCATGCAGGGTGATATCATCGTCAGGATAATTGACTAGCTTTAGCGGTTTCACAGTACCAGCCTGTAAAGGAAATGTTGTTTCAGTCAGCCACAATACAGATTTGGATGTAAAGAGAGAGGGCATACATTAAAAATGCATATCGAAATTTACTGCCTATTTGACGCGTATTCGCACGGTAAACTAGAATGAGTATGCTGGTCAATGATAGCTTACGTTTATATCGTATACAAATGGTTGATCTTTGACAATAGGAACCTCGTTCCACATTCCAAGAGGAGGAAACCATCCGGTCATTCGCGATTTCACATTGCCGCATGCAAGGAAAGCAGATCCTGATTTATGATGAATCACAATATCCTCACATCCTTCAAATCCTTCCAATCCTGATGCATACGTTATAAAAATCAGTTTGAAAAATACCCAACTAACTTCTAGACACGATATATATTACGAATAACGGAATTTCTTTTGTCGTATATAAACCTTTGACGACTTTACACTTATCCAAGCCAATTTGGTTAACAGGTCTGTTGTAAATGAAGAGACGATAAGTTTCCGTCAACCAGTTATAATTGACTGCTATAAGTATAATAAATAGAGTTGTTGCGACTGTAAAGGCATTGAGAAAGCCCGATTTTTGAGTTGAAGAGGTAGAAGAAGAAGCTTGTATCTTTTTTGTTGAGACCATGGTCGGTGTTGGAGCATAAAATGAAGTTAATGAGAATCCAAGGTATTTTTATCGAAAAATCATGTATCACAACTATACAAAACGAGATTAAAATTACTCACGATATTCCAAGTGATGCATAGAAAGTAAGTGGGGTTTCTTTCATTATGGGTAAATGGAAAAACATTAGTCCACATTCTTTCTCTGCATACTTTGACTGTATTTTGTATCACGAATGGTTATTATTATGATTGTCTAACGTGATCTTCATGTGAAATCGGGACATGAACTTTAAGAGAGTATTGGCCGATCCTTTTATTATTCGTCCGAAATATTTACAAATTTCTTTAGTAATTGACAGGATGTTATTATTATTATTATTATTATTATTACAGGATTTAGCGATCGATCTATTTGCAACAATTGTTAGACTGGATCCTTCATTGCAATTTAGCCGAAGACTTGATAATTTGTAAACCGAATATCGGCCCGATAAATCGCATAAATCGCATAAATCACACAAATCACATAAATGGTCAAATATAAATACAGTGAACTCTCCCTAAGTGCATAAGCTGGGACTGAACCATACCATGCATTTATGGAGGGTAAAAACGTTATATATTTTGCTCTCTGTAAATGCACACTCTCTAAATGTGGTCCCGACAACGTGCACTTAGGGAGAGTTTACTGTATATTTGTCTACATAAAATTATAGAAACTTGCAAAATGACAAGCTATTTAATAAGTTGGTAGTTTTCTGCATCAACACCATCGATTGATTTTGTAATATAAGCTTGTGAATCCAAGCGTTTTATGTACGCTAAATTCTTCAATTGTAGTTTATCACAAGCTAGTAGCCAACTGCATTTTAAAGCCACAACTTATTCAGTCTGCACACTTAAACCTGCTACGAAAAAATGTCTGAGCAACAGACGTTTAACCAAGCGATTCTATTGTCGGAGCGTGACTATTTAGTCGCGAATTTACATAATAAACAATTGATCACACTGTTGCGAATAGTCATTTTTATAATCCTTGTACCACCATCCCAAAGTTTGCAGGCAGTGATCTGCATCGGGTATTCGAATATGCAATATTAATATCTATCGCTATTACTATTGCATAAATCCAGACGTTTAGTTTTGTTTAATAAGTTCTGAAGATTTAACACGTAAAGCTCATACGATAGAAAAAGAGTACCAATGCAGAACGTCAATACGTTGTGCAAAGATATTAATATTGCCTTCTTAATTTCGACCAATGGCAACATGGTGTCACATTAACTGCTTATTGACAGTCTACATAGATTAGTAATCTTTGCTGCTGCTCAGAGCAATGGCAACATTTGCTTCCTTTTTCAGCAAGAGCGGTATAGAATGGACAAGAAAAGTGGGGAATTGTAAGCAAGTCGTTAGTGGTAGAGGCAACAATATCTGGATCATCGATGATGCGGGAGTGGTAAGTTCTTCCCCTAGAAACTCCAATAGATGATCACTTTTACTCTTATATTCGTAACTTTAAATTTGAATTGATATTTCTCACCCACGAAAGATTTCCTGCGGTTTAAACAGTTATAAACAATATAATCTCAAAGCAGGAGCGGTACAGATTTCCGTGGCTGCAGATGGAGCTGTTGCTGCAGTCGATAATGCGAATGGAATCCATTTGTTTGAAAATGATGGCTGGTACGTATTCTTCAGTCGATCATATTAAAATAATATTTGATTTCATTTGATGTGATTTCGTTTTTGTAGGAAGAGGTTGATGTCAATAACGGCTAAGCAAGTTGCTTTGCAATCATCAAGTGTTATGTTTTACATTGATGAGGAAGGCATTCTCAAACGCTATAATATCACGAACGATACAGTTGAACGCGGTGAGTATGACTAATAAACATAGTATTGCTATGTTAATAATCTTTACTTACATTTGACATATTTATTAGATTATGGGGTAGTTGATTTTGTCACAGCAGCATCAGATGGGACACTTTGGGGACTTGTAAATGACCAAGTGTTGCGATGGAATGGGTTTTGTTGGTACGAAAAATGATTCTTTCGGTATAACGATGATCCTAGTTACTGTCCGTAACGTTAATTTGTTTTTAATGCAAACAGGGATCTTATCAACGGCCAAAAAATGAAGCATCTTTCCGTTGGATCAGCACTTCTAGTTGTTGGAATTAATCACGACGACGAGATATTTCAATTCGTGAAAAGTGACTGGCTACAGATTGCGGGAAAGCTAAGAAACATTACCGTCACAATTGATGGAATTCTCTACGGTACTAATGATGTTGATGATATATTTTATAGTCACGATGCGTTAAAAACAATTTGTAGAAATTGTCAATGAGAAAAAAAAAGGTTTAATTTAACACATAGGCCAATTGATGATTAATTAATAAAAAGTTTACTTTAATCCATCTAAGTCGATTAAGAATAGCATTGAATGTTTGAGAATCATAGAACGCGTACTTGGCAAGCTTGTTACGAACGCCAATGCACAAGTCGAACCGATTCAACGTTTTATGATTGATTTTTTTGTGATGATAATAAGGATGGTCCTTCTGAAGGTCCGCACAAGTTGGGTTGAAATTCATACATTTCCTGTCGATGAACATCTCAAGTTCCCATTCGGGGCGGCGAGTTATCTCGATTCAAACGTTTGTATCCTTCTCACCAACACCCTTCACAGCCTTTTCATCTTCGAAGACATAGTCTACTTCTAAAACGTATTCCCTTAAAAATAATTCCAATCTAGCCTGTTTTTCGTCGATTGAAAGATCTTTTCCTAATACAGAGCCTGAGAATGGAATATTCGGACGTAGACTATTGCGGAGAGAGCCACTATCTGATCTGAACAAGCCACTATATGATCTGAACAAGCCACTATATGATCTGAACAAGCCATTATCTATGATTTGGCGTTTTACGAAACTGGGGAGAAGGGCATAGTATTTCACAGCTTTTTCCACGTACTTGTACAAGCGATGCAAGCCAAGTTCGGAGTACTTATAAACTAACTCGACATGGCCTCGATCAGCAGCTTCTCCATAATCATCTATGGCAGTGGCTTCGTTTGCTTCAACACAAAGTCCCTTTCCGTAACACAGTCCTATATAGTGAAAGGCCTCAGCATTGCCAGATTCGGCCAGCTTGGTGAATTTAGCAAAGGCCTCTTCGTATCTTCCAGCTCTATGCAATTGCTTAATTTCTTCTATGTCTGGTACGCCTTCACCCAAACATGGCAGCTCAGATGCCGAGTTTTCGCAAGGTGATTTAGTTGACGGGTGTATGGTTGGGGAGGTTAACCCACGCTCATTGGACAATTTCAACAGCTTCTCGTATACTTTATCAGCTTTTGGACGCTTGTTCGGTTCTTGACTCCACGCCTTTTTCATTATTTTCTCGTATCCCTCTATGATCTCAATCTTTTTAGTGCTTTCTGGACGGCCACCGTCCGAAACGAGCTGTATGATATCCTTGGGCGATTTATCCTTCATCGGTTTTTCCTGATATGCGATTTCCCATAGAAGTACTCCAAAACTGTACAAACCGTGATTGTTAGTTTAACGCGAATTTTATAAAGCTTTTGCATTTCTGTTGATATTACCTGTATACATCACCGGGGGCCCTATATGGCTGTTCGATGTCAGCGAACTTTTCTGGTGGATAATATCTGAAATATGAATTTAGCAGAGGGGAGAGGGGAACAAATAATTAATATTAACACGTAAGTTTCATCAAATCAATACAAATTCTATTACCCCAAATGTTCGGATCTCCGATTCTTTGACGAAGCTATTTGAAACCTGCTCAGCTGAAACCCGGAAAGTTTTGGACATAATCTGTCATCGAGTAGTATGTTATGACTTCTCAAGTCGTGGTGGAGTACTTCTCGATCGTGACAAAAGACAAGTCCATTGGCAATTCCGGTGGCTATTTTAAGTTTTATGGACCAATCCAAGTTTGCAGGAGCGCTTCTAAGATAGTCCTCGAGATTGCCATTTTCACACCATTGAGTAATCATATATAGTGAACCACTATCTTGAAGTGTGCCTATACTGATAATTGTAAGCATATCGAAATTTCATTAGACATTGCGAATATGAGCTCAAACCGGTGTACAAAAACGTTAAAACGAAACAAAACTTACAATTTTAACACATTTTCGCAATCGTCCATCAATTTCAAAATTCCAATCATCAAATTGATGTCATTTTTTTCGGTCGCGTTCATTATGTTAACTTGGCCCAAAAATTTCTGCGCCACTTGTTGCTGTCGATAATATAACCTTCTTACTATTT